TGGCTAAAACATTATTCTTAAAATTGAGCTGAGGAGAAAAAGATTAAGCTGTAATTTACACATCGGTCCTCAGTGTAATTTATCCCTCAAAATGTAGAATTTATTTATAATTTATGGCCCACCCATTTCCATAGAAGGATTTGAGACGGCAAAATTTGGAATAAGAATCCAAGAATATTATATCTGGGATTAGTAGATTCAAGTTCTAAAGTAATTTAGTAAAAAGTAAAAATAAACAACTTTGTTAAAGACTGTCCCCCTCCGATGTTTGAAAAATAAAGAATAGAAAATTGTTCTCTTAGCGTTCTTTTTAAAACATCACTATTCTGTATTACTTTCTAAATGAAACAAAGTCTAATTTCCTTAAATTATACTGGAGACAGAAAGTTGAGAAGGAAAAGTAGAAAGCCATGATCAAAAAAACAGTTCTAGAAACCTTCAGAACTGTATATATTATTTTAATATGAACTATCGATTTCAATTAATTTCCAGAACAAATCAAAACCCCTGGTCAATACTGTAAGAGCTGATGGGTACCTGGGATCCAAGCCAAGAATTTCCTAGATTATGTGCCATTACCAATTTTTAAAACTTCAGGATTAGAATCCAGGTGTCCATTAGTTCAGAAATATCTGGGACTCAAACGTTATAATAACTTCTGAAAAAAAAAAAAAAAAAGTATCTATGGAGCTCCGAGTTCTGGCAGCTGTTGAACTGTTCCAGGCCCTGTTCAAAATATGTACTTTTCAGTAAGCCAAGCAGCTAGAAACTAGGAATGAAAATGTGTCCAAGCACCACAAACAACTAACTATTGTCACAGAGCCCGTTCCAAAAAATGCCAATATTGGGTCCACACAATCGGTACCCAGCTCTTGGTACCCTGACGGATTCCTCCAGGGGCCAGGCACCTTGGGGCCGGGCTGCTTTCCAGGATTGCAGTTTAAACGAAATTTCCTTCAAAATTCAGTCTGGCTGGGACATACCACAGGCTTTGGCTTGGAACTTTCCAGTAATGCCCAACATAATTGGACCTGAGACACGCTGGCCGACCAACACCACCACGAACTCTGGGGAGAACTGTGTGGAAGCAGGCGGAGGATTCTGGGCCTGACCACCCAGAAGAGTGAGTGACGAGTAACAGAACAAATGAATGCAAGTGAAGGTGAGCAGAGGAACGGAGTGGTCAGGGCGTGCTGGGCCCAGGAGCGCTGGCGCTGGCCAGCAGCCATGTCCATCCTCTGCGTGGCAGACCACAGCTTCCCCGTGCAGCAGTCCTGCCCCAGAATTAAGCAGGCACCGGACCAAGCCTCTACAGTGACCCACATTTCACAATGAACTAAAGAGACAAAAGAACAAAAGAATATGTTAAATGGCACCACCGGGATGTAGTTACTGAAGTAGAGAACACAGAAAACTCTAGAGGACAACCCTGTCCCTTAACCAAGTAAGTTGCATTTAACTAAAAACAAAACTGTTTGACACGAATCCTATATAAAGCTTGAACAACTGATCTAAACAAACCAAAAGAGAGAGAATAGGAACCTCTGGGGGCTCATTCAGTTACGTGTCTGGCTTCAGCTCAGGTCATGATCTCTTGGTTCACCAGATTCGAGCCCCACGTCAGGCTGTGTGCTGACAGCTCAGAGCCTGGAGCCTGCTTTGGCTTCTGTGTCTCCCTCTCTCTCTGCCCCTCCCCCGCTCATATGCCGTCTCTCTCTCTCTCTCTCTCTCTCTCTCTATCTCTCTCTCTGTCTCTCGCTCGCTCTCAAAACTAAGTAAAACATTTAAAAAAATTTTTTTAAGAGAGAGAGAGAATAAAAACGTTTCCTGGTTTTAATGGTTTTAACCTGCTAGCTTTTGGAGGAACTTCTTACTGAGATACATCTCAGTACTGAATCCGTACTGAAACGTGGGGCTGAGCGAGGCAGCAAGAGGAAGAGTGGTTTTGGATTCAGACACACTTGGGCTCACACTGCTGACCCACCACTGGCTGTAGCTGGAAAAGTGATCCAGCCTCTCTGTGAAAGGCTGGAGCCTTTCCATTCATAAACCAGAGATGAAAATGACTAACGCCTAGGGTTGTTGTAAACAGTAAATACACGTATAAGTGCTTAGCACCTTGCCTTGCACAGAAAATCAGCAAGCTGGCTAGCAATATTATTTTGTATAATCATTAGCAGTGCTCATTCTAAAAGAGCCTCCCACCCACCATCTCCCCCCGCCCCCAGAAAAGCTGATCTCCCAGAGTAGGTTGCATCCACATCTCCTGGTAGAAGGCCGACTGAGGGTGGCTCGGCAGGGCGACGGACCACAACTTTCACCAGGGTCTGTGCTGAGCATCTGTTTCTAGCTTTCTCTGTGTTGGGTCATACAACACGCTGCCTCTCCCAGGGTGGGAGGCACACATGAGCTAGAGCGGGGTCTGGGGGGAATACGCACAGGAGCAAGGAGCCCGACCATGCAGATGGTGTGCTCATGTGCTCGAAAATATTACGGTAAATGGGGGGGTGTCCGCGTGGAATTGTGGTGGGAGGGTTTTTCATCCCCTCCATCCAATGGCGCAAGAGGAGACTGGTTCTGAACTCGCAGCCTTTCTTTCACTTGTCATTATGTTTCACACACGAGGAAATTCTAATGTCTGAAGATGGGCGCTGATGAGAAGAAGGAGGCTACACGTGTTTTTTGGCAGCGCCGTCACCAGTACTTAAATTCACTTCTGACAGTGCTCAGAATCCAAGGCCCTGGGAGTACCACGCTGTCATCTGCCTATCCAGGGGAGATTTCACCCTGGCAGTGTTTCAAGAGTAAAACCGTGCACGTTTCTATGCATATTTTCACCACCACAATATTTCTCTAAGCCGAATAAAAGATCGCATCTCAAGAGACGTATACAAAGAGGTTTGCGGTACGGGGTTGTGCTAAAAAGGAAAATCACCTTTCTTTCTGAACCTAGAAGGACAAAACTCCAGCCATTTGCTAAAATCTGGGATGAGGGCAAAATGGGTGCGTCTGAGGTGGGGGATTACAAAAGGCAGGTGAATCTGACGACATCTGAATGACTTTAACTGATGGTCCTGGTACGACTTGGAAGGCGCTCCTATTAGGTAACAGCTGGCAAGCTGCTCGCATCCAAGAGGAGGCCTGGGAAGGCAGCCTGCACAAGCCTCAGCCACAGCCGCTCCCAGTCAGGGACGGCCTGACAGACGGAACTGGCTCCAAGTCCCACGGCTGATCCCGACCTGCCAGGTGACCTGTGAGAGCCGCTCCCCGCGCGGTGGGCGAGCGGGAGGCCCGGGGTCCCTCCTGCCTCCCAGGCGCATGCCCTTGGCCACCAGCCTTCCCAGTCCAGTCCCGCTCTTGCGGGATAAATGAGCACTACTGCCCACTGTCGCTGCTATGAGTACTACTGTCCTTCCAAACCACCACAAAAGTAACGGGCTGAGGAGTCAGCCATTGAGCAATGAAACTGCTTGCTGGCACCTGAGTTTATGACTTATCGGAGGTGAAGTAGGCTCCCAGGGGCCACCGCTCCCTTCCCAGAGCCCAGAAGCGGGGCCGGGGCATTGGAGGCGCTCACTAAATGTGTGTTAAGTGAACGAGCAGGTGGATAAATGAACAGAGAATGTCTACACAAGAGAATGTCTTAAAAGGTACCGCGGTACGCTGACCTGAGGTCCTCCGGGAGGGCCAGCAAGGGCCAGCAGCCACCAACCACCAAACACGGCACAGGACATGCACCGCAGGTCACCCAGGTCTGTGGGCTCAGTGGGGACGCTACCCAGCCATTCTGTGAGCACTGGGCCTGCACTCCACCAGCAACTGTGACTTTGTGGGTCAACCTCAAGGACTGAGAACACTTGCTAGCTCCCAAAAGGGCTTTAGAGAACAGACTTCCTGGCAGTGTGAAAGAGCAGAGCGAGACACTGAGGCAGATTCAACAGGGGCTGGTCATGGGCCAGTACCTTCTGAATATCTGCTTTAAGTGCCTCCGCCTACATCCCTCATCTACTTGGAGAACTCTAAAGCCGTCGCTTCCCCACAGAGCCTATCCGAAAGACAACTGGTCATTTATCAGCATTCTCCAAACTTGGTCATTCTGGGGCCACTACTGGAATGATCTTATCCTTGGCACCACGTATACTGTCATTAACTTAATCCTCGTGTCCAAATCCATGCACTGTAAAAAAAAATTAAATGCAGTTTTTTTGTTGTTTTTTTTTTTAATGAAATTTAAACCACCGTGTTAAATGAGAAGCCAGTAATGCCAGCCCTCCATGGTGAAGGAACCATAAAAATAAATGCTTGGAAATGAAATCTTGTCATTAAAATGGAGCAAGCCTCCACTGCTTTCACCAGCTCTGGGCCTGAGGTCTGCTGTCCCTCTGTGAGAAAGTGAGGCTGGCATGGGGTGGCCTGAATGCCTGCCAGTCCTGAGCTACTGCTTCGTCCTTTGGGCATTTTGAAAGACTATAAACAAGAAGTGAAGGAAAGAGTAAGTTTCTCGCAACATGAGTCCACGTGTAGGAGCCACGCTAATGTGCCACATACGATCACTGCAGACACGGAGAAGGTGGAACCTTCTCACGCTGCTGACACTCGGCCCCCCTTTCAGTACTGGATAACTGAGGCTACTCGTTCCCAGATGCAATTAAAACGCACTTTTCCTCGATTCTGAGCTCACTGCCAACATGTCTGTAATCAGGATGCATCCTACAATCGGCTGGCTTTTATTAGCCACTTTTACTAGTGCTTCAATAGTGTCTTTCCATTTTTATTGGGGGGAGCTGTTATTAAATTGAAGGCACATCTCATAATGAGGGTGACTCAGGAAGTCAAGAAAATATGGGCCACCCTAATGGGGCCAATATAAATGAGCCTGCTGTCTGGATGCCAACACAACACAACAGCCTTGTGCTTGCGTTCTCCCAATTGTGTTCATCTGATAAAGACATTACAATAGCAAGATATTATGATCTATAACCCTCCACTGAAACACTCACGCATGCTTGGCCTTGAACGCTTGAGCAAAATGCTGCACGCTACGGAGCAGAGCAAGGTCCAGGGTCATTGCTTCTACCTTGGCTTTGTGCTGGAATGAGAGAAAATAAAAAGAAATGATAAATAACAGCAAGTTTAGTTCATGGTATCAAGTTACAGTAAATGTGTTATGGAACATGTCGGAATTCCCCTGTTTAATATTAGACGCCCAGAGAGAATATAAATCATCGGAATGAATGGAAGAACAGGGCTTTTACTGCCAAGTTTGGGAGGATGTGAGGCTGGGAATCTGCTAAAACCACAGGCTGGGGGTTATGCTGTTTCACTCAGCGCACAGAAGAGGCTCCAAAGGGTCTTCAGGCTCACATATCTTCTCAATCTGTGTCCTTAAAAAAAAAAAAACCTATAAAACCAGGGGAATGCCAGGACAAAGTCTGGCTCATGCAAGAATTCAGTAGATGACATTTTAATCTCAAAAGTTGCCATCAGGGTTCTGGAATGATTCCATCGAGGCTGAATCAAAAATTAAAGACGATTCATTTATAGAAAATACAAAAGCAGGCGAAACTCTTTTATTCCAATGAACCCTGAGTGACCTAGGTCCCAAAGAGACCTCTGGTTTGGCAATCCAAAAACTATAGGTAGGTGGGACGCACACAGAGAATAAGAATGGCCACCGTCTACTCAGGGCTGACTCTGGACCGGCGTTTATTTGCACCATCTCATTTCAACCCCATAACAACCAAATGGGTTACACTTTCCCTGTTTTACATGTGGCCCCTTATAAGAGATCACAGAGCTAAGAAGGGCTGAGCCAAGGGTTCACCCCAGTCAGTCTGACACCAAAGCCCTCCTTTCCTCCTTGACAGGGACTAGAAGGCCTGGAGCATCAGGATTTGAGGCAATCATGGTCCACTGAAGAGTGTCCTAATACATTCTGGAAGATCAGGGTCGCCTCTCACACTTCCCAGGTATTGATGGGGCACTCCCCACTTTTGGGTCTGGCTGGGCTGCAGGGTATGAGATTAAATGCTATCACTTCTTTTTTTTAAGTTTGTTTGTTTATTTTTGAGAGAGAGCAAGAGACAGGGAAAGAGAGAGCATCCCAAGCAGTCTCCACACTCTCACAGAGATCCCGACATAGGGCTCGAACTCGCAAACTGTGAGGCAACCAAGAGTCAGATGTTTGACTGTGCCACCCAGGGGCCCCTAAATACTATCACTTCTTAGACCTATCTCCTCCAAAGAACGCACAGCCAAGAATGCTGGGGCCACCTGCCTGTTCAGGTAAGGAAAGTCCCAGAAACCAAACGGTGAGCCTGGAAGTTCTTGTCTAGACCATGATCGTAGACCAAGGAGCATGACATGATACCTCCGATGCTACGAAGGGGACACAAACGGTACTGCAGACAACATCCTCCACCTCAACAGTCTTATTCAGGGAGAGACACAATCTGGGTTGAGGTGCTTAGTGTATCTGCAGCCATTGATCTTTGCTCCTAAGTCCTGGGTTGTAACCCAAGTCCCAAGTCTTGAACAATAAACATCAGGCATGGGAAGCCGGGAGGTCAACTGACTCTGGGCCATTTAATATTCCTAAGCCTCAGGTTCCTTGTTTGTAAAAGGTAAACAGTAACTATCTTCTCAAAGACTTGTAAAGCACCTAACAGCCAGCCTAGAAGACAGAAGGGATTTAATAAACTTAATGAGAAGGTGAGAAGATGTCTGCTGTGCCGAATTCCTTTCCTGACGTAAGTCTGTTACACATGGCGGACTGTGCGCTCCAGCGCAGCATGGTGGGTGAAATGGTATTCACAAAGGCCAGGTAGGACCAGCTCGCTGTTAGATCCTAGAGGATCCAGGCCACATCTACTCAGAGTCCAGTTTTAGGGAAAGGGGTGTAAGGTGATTAAATGACATCCCCAAACCCAAAAGCACATAGGCAGTGAAGGCAAGTTGGCCAACGTAGATGTAAGCTCCTGGGACAACAGTGGCACAGGTACAAACATGCCAATTTGGGAAGGAGGAGGAAAAGCATCTGACCTGATCCAGGAAGAGGGGAAGGTGCCAGTGTGTGGATGCTGTTAAGAGTCTCCTAAGATCACTGGGGCGCCTGCGTGGCTCAGTCGGTTGGGCATCCGACTTCAGCTTGGGTCATGATTTTGCATTTCATGAGTTCAAGCCCCACTTTGGGCTCTGTGCTATCAGTTCGGAGCCCGCTTTGGATCCTCTGTCTGCCTCTCTCTCTGCCCTTCCCCCACTCGTGTCATAAACATAAACAAAAAAATACCTAAGATTACAGAATTATAATCTATGGACTAGGGGACCCACAGTGACTTGAGGCCACACCCCTCATTCTCTAGAGAGGGAAACTGCCAGCAGCAGAAATGAGCGCACATGAGCGAGGCTGTACCCTATGGGCATCTTGGCCTCCAGGCCAGGAGAAAAACCCCAGTGACTTTCTGTCTGCCCAGCTGGTGTATCTGATGACTGAAATCTCTTGGGAGTACTGAGCCTGTCAATGGCTAACTTTTATTCCCCATGGAGTCTTATGCTGCAAGATGCTTGACTGTCAGCAGTTAGCAAATAAAGTGGCCTTTGGCCTCATCCTAGCCCCTCTGGCCCCAGCCTCACTTCACTTAGAACGTGACACTCATCACCACACTCAGAATCTTAGAGAACTTTGGATGTGTCACAAGAGGAAAGGTGGATATTCAGTCTGTTGGGGAAGGGGTGGTGAGGACACTGTTCTTCCTAGCCAAGCCCCTGAGGGACACCCCAACGGATGTGCAGGTGACATATCATAAAAATGCATATAAATATTTCCTCCATAAAACAGCGGCAACATTCCCAGATGGTGGCCCCAAAGCAAAATCCCAACAAAAATGATGGCTCAGCCGAGTGGGCCAGTATACCCTTCCGTGTGTGTAACTTACAATTGGTGAGTTGTCTTTTGCCCCCCACCACTCTAAAATAAAGTACAGACCTACCATTACCAATAAGAACAAAATCAGAACATACACACCTAGAGGGAACAAGGGGTCACAAGCCATCGAGTAGTTCAACAGACTAATCCACAAGCTGTGGGTTACTAGGCTCCTGGGGACAGTGATTCAAGTTCACACACTATTACTCAGGTAGTTCTCCTGTCCCTGGCATCAGGTTTCCTGTTTCCCTGTTTCTGCTACTGACCGTGAGCAAGGCAGAGAAACTGCAGGCAATCCCGTAAGTTCAGGGAAGAGGAAATACATCTTTTAGAATTAGGGTGTGTAGATGTGTTTGTGTACATGTTTGGGGGGGGGTGTTGCTCTTCTGATTCTGTAACAAACCTAGCAACGTTATAGTCATGTTTACCCTGGGACGTGCTATATCTGGGAAGGCAGTGGTGGACACACCGCAAAGAGAACCCATTTCTGAAGCATAAACTGCTGATTGCTGGGTGCAGACATGAGGTCTGTCCACCAAGGCGAGCTTTTCTGCCAAGTCTGGCCGTGAATCTGGGACTGACCGTAGTTCGCTTTCTTGGTTTAACTCATGAACTTTCTGTTGTTGTTGTTGTCGTTAACTTTGATTTGGAACTAGTTACAGACTCACAAGTGCAAAAACAGCACCATGAGCACCCATGTAGCCATCTCCCAGCACTTCCAATGGGGACGTCTCACCCACGCACATACTACATGGGCACTACCAGAAAACCAACACTGGCACAACACGGTTCATGAGAGTACAGATGTCACCAGGATTTCACCAGTTTGGGGATGCACTCACTTTCTTTCGTTGGGAATATCTTTGTGAATAATCCTATGACATTTTCTTCTATGTACAGATTCATCTAACAACCACCACATTCAAGATACCAAACTGTGCCACCACCACAAAGGGACCAGTGGGTCTTTTTATTAAGAGGTGTTAAATTAGCATATGCCATCTAGGACATAAAAAACTGAGGCCTTATTTGGCTGGGGTCTGCTCTTTGGATCGGCAAAACATGCACATATACAAAGCCCCAGCTTAAAACCCCTCTGTAGCTTGGAATAGCCAGTGAGATAATAGCCCAGGTCCCTTGGGATGGTTCACACAAGTGGCTCCATATCAACTAAGATACGCTTCACTATCCTTAGCGAACAGCTCCTGAGCCTCCATGTCTTCAAACAGCCAAGGATTACCACTCGCCCATACTTCATGCCCACCCCAGGTCAATGGGACCTGTTCTTCATGGTTGGCCAGGGGCCCAAGCAGACGGGACCTCCACCCTCTGCAACATCGTTAGCTTCTACAGCGTGAGGAAGAGAATGGGACAAACTGTTGGTAGACTGGATCTTAGAGGCCTCTTCCCAGCAGTAGAGATGTCGCTTCTGCTCATATTTCATTGGTAGAGCAAGTAATGTGGCTACACTTAGCTTCCGAAGGTGCAACCTTCCATGTGCCCAAGAACACATAACAGAAATACATATATGGAAGAAATGGAAATATGTAACAAAAACCGGTAATAACTAACACACATCCCATGACTTTGCCCTCTCCAGGGCTATTTCACTTTCCACTTCTCACTTCCTACTTTCATTTATTACAGGAAAAATTTTTGAAAAGACAGATGGATATGACCAAACAAAAAAACATTCTATAATTCTACCAATTCTAAAATGAACTGTTAGTCTTCTATATGTCCCCCTCTTTTTCCCTCCCAACTAGATAGATAGATCCATCCATCTATCCATCCACCTGTCCATCCATTCACCGCCCCCCAGCTTTTTTTAACAGGAAGAACTTCATATTAAGAGCTCTGAATCTTAAAATGCTATAAAATGCCTCTCAACCCTTCCCCAAGTCCTTACTCTTCTCTCTAATCACACCAGTACACAATCTTCTCATCTCAGACAGAATGAGAATGTAAATTTATTTTAAATTATGTATACAGATGCTGGTACCCATCATTTTACAAACAGAACTGCACAGGTGGCATCCACACTTGAAGCATCAGGCAACTTCTAAGTAGCTAAGAAGCCCACCTGCTCCTGACACCCTGGGCTCAGCCAGAAAGACATAGTAATTAAGCAACCCACACGCTCTTCCGCCATTTCACTGCGACCC